TGTATGTGTACACTAACACCCACAGCATCACCATTCACAAGAGCCAGAGCAAGAAACAGCCTAAATTTACATTTCCAACTGAATGGATCAGTAAAATGTCTTATAGCCATCCAGCAGAAGACCACTCAGCCTTAAAAGGAACCAGAAATCTAACACAGACTAAAACATGGGCGAAATATCAGCACACTATGCTAAGTGAAAGAAGACTGTCACAAAAGGACAAACAATTCCACAGAGTGTGTCTTGAAGAGTTAAATTCATAGAGATGTGCAACAGAATAGTGGTTACTAAGAGGTGGGGCCGAGGAGTGTCTTCATCATTTAATGGGTAAGGGTGATGGGAAAAGGTCTTGAGACAGATTGTGGTAAAGACTGTATAGCTTGTGACATGTACTTAATACCACTAGGTCATACTGTAATTAATAATACATACTGCAATATATATATAAATATATACATATGTATAAAATTGCCACTAGATATATACTTAGAAGTGTTTGAAATGGAAACGTTTTCCATGTGTGCTTTACCACAATAAAAAGAATAACTCTCACCTAAACTGTAAGGTCTAGGACAAGAAAAAGTTCTTCACTTAATACACCATAGGCATTGTACCCACGATGGCAGGATGGCAGGAAGTCTGAACATATCTGTTTTTAAAGATCATTTTCCCAAATGTCTTGAAATTTGAGACAAAGACATCCATTTCCAGATTCCTTGACTGTGTTACACACACCCAGAGCAGCCAAAGCGTTCTGCAAGCAATCACTGTGTAGACCCACAAAGCTGTACCCACAGCAGACTCAGAGACAACACACCCATTCACACTTTCTTATTTGAACCCCTAACTATCAAATATTTTCACACGGAAAAAAACAGAGAGATGTGTCAGTGACACTTTAGAAAAACAAGTAGCCAGGCAAGGTCAGCCCAAGTCAGTGGTCATTATTAAAGCCCTCATGATCCGATTGGTCTCCAGGCAGGTTTGCTCACATTTCCCATTCCAAGAGTGCTTTCCTGAGACCTAGGGCAGGCGCGGGGGTGTTCTAGACAGCCATTCTTTGAATTGGAGTAATGCCTGGGCCAAAGCTAAGAGTCAGACTAGCATATAAGCATCCCAAAGTCATGGACTTCATTCTAAACCTTCAGAATGAAGACCAGCCAAGGATGGGTATGACTCAAAAAAAAAACTATATGCAATTCCTCCTGGCTGCATAGTAAGAATTCAATAAATTCTTAGTAAATTAATGCCTTGGAAAAACTCACACTCTAGTGACAGCAAGTGGTCAAGCATTCAGACAAGTACAAGCAGTGGAAAGGGGTGTCCTGGAACATCTGTGGGAATCGAGGACACAAGAGACTCAAAATCAAAAGTCTCTCAGAAACCAAGAGCAGTGAGCTGAACTGGCCGGGGAGAGGCAGACAAGGGTTTGCAGGCAGCAGGAGCCGAGTATGAGGGCCTGGAAAGGAGGGAAGGCGTGAACGGCAGAGGATTACTGCTGGGAACACAAAAATAAATGTCCCTAAGTGACTGTAATTTTCTTGACTGGGATGGAAGTGTTTATATGAAATATTACATTAAAAGTCCAGTTCAATTCAAGGTACTCAATTTCACAAGTCAAACTGGGTTTTCCCAATTCTCTCAGGACCTCGCTGCCTCCATCCAGTTGGCAGGTCATGAAATAATACGTACCAACTCCCACTCATCTCCCATGTGCAAGAGCAGTCACTAGACTTCTCTTGACCACAATGGAGTAGACCCACTGCCCTGCAGGAAGAAGAAGCATTTGGTGGCTGCTAGAACCCTAGCAAAGGTGGGGAGAGGGTAGCTGAAAAAGTGTGCAGACACCCATGGTGCCAGTTCACCCACAGCCACTGACGCAAGCAGCCTGAGAAGTGTGGTGAGCAGACAGTTCTGGGGCCTGGGATGTTTCTGGATGCAGGCATCTCTATGCTCTCTCAGTCACGCAGGGGCAGCCTTACGGATGCAAGAGATCTTTTCTCCCAAAGCAGTGTTGGAAAGTTACGTGTTCCGTCTGAAGAAGGAGGTGTGATTTGAGGAGATTGTTACAAACCAGGAAGGGCTGAGGGTCTCTGGGGTTTCAGCGCGCTGTGACTCTAAGCTATCTGACCTTAGACAGGTTCCTTTGTGTCTGGGCTCAGGTCCTGGGAGACTGTCTTTTGACGGTATGTTTCCAGGCAAGCGTGAGAAACCTGTAAAGAGAGGAAAACAAATTATAGACTACTTGGATTTTTTTTTTTGCCCAGAAGCCTATATTCAGTTTTCAACTCTCATATACAAAACCCTGGGAGAAAACAGAAAGCCTCCTACAGCAAAAATCCAGGTTAGAGAGCTGAACGATGAACCTCCGAGAGGAAAAACACAGCTTGTGGAATTTGGAGCTATACCTGAAACATGATTGAACCATGATTTTCTGTACCCATGATACTGCTTTCATTTAAAAACAGCCAGAAGGTGTTTTCTGAGCACTTACATTGTGTCAAACGCATTCTCTTAAGATACACTCTTTTATTTTTAATTGACATAATAATTGGATACATTGTTAGGGTGAAATGTGGGCTTCCAATGAATGTATACAACATGATCAGGTCACTGGCATATCGTTACCCCAGAAATGTATCATTTCTTTGGGGAATGTTCAAAATCCTCTCTGATAGCTATTTTTAAATATTCAATAAATTATTGTTAACTGAAGTTGACTGACTGTGTTTTAGAACATTAGATGTTACTCCTACTCAGAAACTGCATACTGATACCCATCAACCATCATCTCTCCATTCCTCCCCACTCCCTCTTCCGTTCTTCTATTTGTTACTTCTTTGAGCCCAGCTATTTACTTTCCATATATCTATGAGCATGTGTATTCATGTTTGTCTTTCGACATCCAACCTACTTCCGTGGACAAAACAGTTTCCATTCTATTCAACTTGCTGTACAGGACAGAATAAAGGCACAGAATCTAAGCACACAAGCTCAGGTGTCTCTTTCAATGTATGGACCTCAATTTCCTGGGCTATGTGCCCAGGAGTGGAACTTCTGGGTCAGAGGGTGGGTTTTTGTTTGTTTGTTGAATGCTTACATTTTCTGACATTCTGTGTGTGTTCTAAATTTCTTGTTTATTTCCATCTGCGTGTGTACGCGTGAATGGTACACATGTACCGACAAGCTAACACAATCACTTGTCGTGGATTCAGGGTACTGACATAGAATAGAATACCTGTGACAGAGATAAAGGATGTTATCATTCACAGCAACAACAACAGTGATCTGACTGTCAGCCCTTTATCTCATCCATCTCCCAATCCCAGTTCTCAAAAGACGACCCACAGAACCACGATGCCTACAAATGGAGTAGGGCCGTCTCCAGGACAGAAAGCCTGAGTTAAAGAACTGGAGCCTTTCATGAAGGGCAGCCAGTAAGCGTGCCTGCTCTCTCTCTTGATAACTTTGCAAGGTGTACACACCCCAGCCCCTTAATCTGGACAGAGACACGGTCTGGAACTTTCAGAGTCGTCCGCAATTTTCCATTGACGTTAGGAGAGACTCTATGCCTCTCTTCAAAGGCTGATCACTTTATAAACATTCTTGGAGTCCAGACTAAAGGCAGCCATTGCCTCTGCCTGCAAGAGGTGTGGAAATGAGAGACACTCAGAGAATTGTGTTCTGACAAAGACAGTTCCCCTTTGGCAAGATGGTGTGGGCATTGGATAGCAGCTTCCTTTATTCTGTACTGCTCCTCTGCCTGCTAGATAACATTAGGGCCAGGCCTCAGCTCTCGGGGCTCCTCCTCATCCATGGTCACTTCCTTGGAGAGCTCATTCAGACCCCTGATTTGAATAACTCCAGCCCCAAAGCTGCTGCCATGCTAGTATATCCAGTTCTACAGTATGGTACGTTGTACTTTGATATTGCCCTGAGTCTTGGGATTTGATGTCCAGTTGCATTCATGGTGTCTTCTGGAATCTCAAACATGCCGTACTCTTGATGCTCACCCTCCACATGAAAGCTGCCCTTCCCCCTCTCTCACCTCTCAGGCAAGGGGCACTGCCACCCAGTGTCTCGGGCCATAAGCATTTCTTCCTTTCATATTCACATCTAATCCTCGAACACGGTTCTCCTCCAAATACATCCTGAATCCCCATGCCCAAGGAATACAAAGCTCACAGATCTACTCATAGACTGTGCACATTTTGAGGTATCACTCTTTCACTTAACAAATAAATCAATTCCTATGTGCCAAGTCAGGGGCTAGAAACCAGAAACCTTTTCTTTTTTTAACCTTGCTTTTTGGTTATGTTTTGTTTGTTTTGCAATCTTCGTACTTGAAGACAAGCATAGGGCCTTCCTTGTGCCCACCAAAGGCTCTGTGTGGTTCCCACCCTGAAGAGTGCTTCAGAAATAGGGGTCAGGATCTTACCTGCTATTTCTCTTTGCGTCTGTTGTGTTGAGATTCTCTTTATTTTGACCAAGTTGATCTTATTACCCTGTGTTTTCAAAACACTCTTTAAAATAAGGATTTAAAATAAGAATTCTATGCTTGTGAAAAAAAATCTCATATAATTAGAAAAATAAGAAAACTGTGTTTTGTTCTCCTTGATCTAACTTCTAATTTGACTGTAAAATAATGTTTATATTTTTCAGAGCTTATTTCAATTCTCTACAGAAGCTCTAACATGAAAAACAAAAATCTCAGGTATTTTCAGTTGGCTTTTTTTTTTAAAGCTTCCTTACATTTAGCTTAAATCCTGGCATTTTATTTCACATCCTTACTGCATTGAAATTGTTATCAAAAACCACACATTTCAATTGGTCTTTGGACAGCCCGCTGACCACCATTTTACTAAAGCTACCAACTTTCCCTAGGACGCAATGAGACTAACAGAACTGACACACACAAAAATGTCTCCTGCATGAATCTCTCCACCTTCCCGGTGATTGTACACCTGCTTTCCTTATATGGCAAACAAGGAAGTAACCGTGTTGAAGTTGCTTTTAAACACAGCTTTTCTTCTTTGCCTGTCCAGGTAGCTTCTGTTTTCATATCAGTCTTAATGAAAGCTTTTGGGTTTACAGATCGAGTTACTTTTCAAAGCAGCGTAAGTAGTTTGACATTTTTTTTTTTTTTTTACACTGCAAGAAAGACTTTCACGGCCTCCAACTCTGGTCTTGTAACCCTGGAGGTAATTCATTTTTAATCTGTCTGCACAGTGAAAACTGAACCGAATGGGGATTGAGCTGCTCTGCCTGTTCCTGCTACTTCTAGGAAGGAATGAGCTCGTCCAAGGTAAGAGAGCTCTCCCGTTTATCACTCTCGTCTTCGCTGTATGCTCGACAAACTGTCATTTGCTCCAGAGAGCAGACCCGCCGTCATTTTTCATCTGATCTGTCTGATGGCTCTCTTGGCACAGAGACACTTTAACAAACTATGGGCAGACTCGGGAATTTCCTCCAGCAAACGTTCTAGGTGCTGGGCAAATAAATACAAAGGTTGCATGGGCATTTTAATGAGGAGAATTAGACAGCCTCCCTACACAATGGGACTTCTGCGTGTCGTTGGGATCGCCACTTGGGAAGCTTTTCTGTTCTGTTGTACGACACGGCCGTCCACTTGGGAGTCATAATATTGAGAGTAGAGAAGGGTTTTAGAAACAGAAATGCCAAATTTATAAGAGAAACCTTTTTAATGGGTACAGATAAGTTTTTGAAATTACATGGCAGGTGCTGAATAGGAGAATAAGTCAGATGATTCAGGACTGCTGAGCAGTTAGACACTGCTGTGGTTTGAGACAAAAGAGAGCTAATTTCTGTTCACATGGTATATATATTCCCAATCTGATGGGTATAAACTATAAACTCAGACATGAGTTAGTAACCTTCAGAACATTAATCTTCTAATATAGCTTTGCTCAAGTAAGAAGTGTAAGTTTCATAAGCAGAATGAATGAGATGGCTTTAACTCCCATGTCTTGCTGGCTTTGCCCTTAGGTGGTTGTGCCTGGGGCGGTGCAGAGACCTGCTCAGATTGCTTGCTCACGGGACCTCACTGTGCCTGGTGCTCCCAGGAGGTAAGTCACTGGCTATCGCCCTGTTTGAACACTGTTTACACATCAGTTAATGTCCTCAGTGAAAGCGGTTCTCTCTGCAGGGTCACGTGATTAAATCAGATCAAGAGAGGAACCTGAGTGTCAGAAGATCAAAATTATATTCATGTATACTTTGAAAGCAATTTACTCAAGGAATGGATGTCAAGTTATTTTTTAAAAACTTAACTAAACAACTTTTATTAGATCTAGCAACTTCTAATTAATTAGTAATTAAATATGCTTTTTAATTTTTATTTTTGAGATAGGGTCTCACTGCATAGCTCATCTGGAGCTCACTTTGTAGACCAGGATCTGTCTGCTTCTGCCTCCCCAGTGCTGAGACTAAACAGGTGCCAGCCCTCTGCTTCTCTTACTTTAAAGGTTTTCTAGCTGGTTACAGGTATTACATTCTGTCTGGATAACTGGTAGCCATGGAGATGATATTGTTCAAAGTGAAGCAGGCATTTAACGTTGATACAGTGTGATTCTGTTCCATCTGGGACCTGAGATCCCTTGTGAGTCTCTGCTAGGCACTTCAAGAAGGGAAAAACTATAATTCATGCATGGGGCAATTCTTTCACAAATCACATGCTCATGAACTGAGTGACTCTTGCGCAGCCATTGCAAAGTGTGGAAGAAACAGTCCTTGTCTGGTCAGAGGGAACCCATGTATGTGCAGACCAAGGCTACAAACAAGACAGACCAAGTCACAGCCTGTGCCGCGATGCAGAGAGCAACGTGGGAAGGATTCGCACTAAGAAAAAGAGCCCTTGGCTTTCAGGATTTTAAGTCCCACCCACTGGAAAGAATCTAAATACCAATCAACGCTTATAAATGCCGACAGCAAGAACCCAGCAGCAAGCTCAAAGGGGAAGGAATGTAGATGCTTGGCTCAGAGCTGGGCTGTAGCTGTTAGGACCCAAATTCCACATTCACTATGTGTGTGGAGCATTGCCTTACAGGCAGGAGAGCATAAACCAGCTCACTCTCCCTCCACTGCCTTGACTGCTTAGTCCACAAACAAAATTCAAGGCAACTGCGCTCTTTTGAATTCAAATAACAAATGCAGAGTTGAGAATATTCAACAAGAAACAAACCCATATGCTCCTTGGATATTGTCTAGAAGACAATATTAGTTTCAGGGCAGAGACAAAAAAATTGATCTAGAATTTACATTTACTCTGTGTGTGTGTGTGCATGTACCCATTCATGTGTTCATGGAGGCCAGAAGTGGGGATTAGATCGCCTGACACTACAGTTAGTTATAGGCAGTTGTAGGTTTCCTGATGTGGGTGCTGGGAATCGCAATTGGGTCCCCTGGAAGAGCAATAAGCATTCTTAGCTGTTGAGTTATCTCTCAAACCCACCAGAATGTATATTTAAATTCATCTTTCCATTAGTAAGTGCTTCCTAAGGTGCTTCTGAGAGTTTTCCTTGTAGTTGGCCAAGGGATCAGCAAGTTTCAAGGTCAGATCATTTCAGAGGCCTCTCCGATAATCAACACAGTCATTAGTGCATCAGCTGTGGCAGACAGCTGTGACCATTAGAGCAAAGAAGGCACAAAGCTTAGGGTGTACACAGACTGCTAATACAGTTCACGCCACCTCTGGTCTTTCTGCAAAGGCTGAACACAACTGGTAGCCATTCCACTGTGGTAGGAAGGATTCTGAGGCCTTGTCCAGCCGCTGTGTGCCTTTGTTACATCATGGGAAGTTGCAGAGTTAGCCATACCCAGGCTAGCGCCACAAATCTGTATAGGTCTGATTGGTAAGAAGAGAACAGCTGTATTTTCAACATCAGTTTTAGAAGAACATATCTCCTAGGTGGGGAAAATAGAAGGTGTGACTTAGAATCCGAAGGGGCAAGGAAAAGATGTAAGCATTAGTTTGGTTCGTAGTAGACTCCAAACTGGTTTCCATGAGTCTCTCTCTCTCTCTCTCTCTCTCTCTCTCTCTCTCTCTCTCTCTCTACACACACACACACACACACACACACACACACACATGAATCCAAGGGCCTCAATTCAATCCTGCCTATGGTCACTTCAGCTCAGGAACAACTTTGCCTATCAGTAGCACCTGGTCTGCTCTTGTCTTGGCTCCATCTCCCTGCTCTGGGTGCTGCAAGATCAGAGCAGCCACATCTCTGCTAGGCCCTACATGTCACAGCCTTCTCTCTGGATGCACCCGAAGGACTGGGACTTTCTGGAATTCCAGACAGAGTGCAAACTTTAAACCATATTCCCTTTTAACCTCCAAACCTGAGAGAGAACTCTAAGAGACCTTGAACTAGAATTCTTGAAGATGCTGAGCTTAAAGTCCATGAGAAGTCACCTTCCATGAAGGGATGCTGTAATTGATGGGGACACATCAGCAAACAGAACCAACTGAGTACCAGACAGGGAGATGTCAGGTGCCCTGTCCTTTAGGAATCTATAGGAAATGGCTCTCTGGGTTGGGCGATAGATTTACAAAGCATGACAGTCCTAGGAATCCAGAAAAACAACCATTCATCCCGGACAAGTAAATTCACAGGAAAATGTCAACTTTAGAAACTCAGCCATTTTAAATATCCACTCAGATCGTGGGAGAAACTTTAAGACATGAACTTTGAATTTAAAAAAAAATTTAAATTTGACTTAAATATTTGACTGAGTATAACTAAAAAGAGGCTCCAATTTTGTTCAAATTTTTACTGGTCAACTTCTCCAGTTATCACAGACTCCACCTGACAGTCACCACCAGCAGTGTGGGTTAGGAGGTACTTAGCATACACTTATCTCACAAAGCGCATCAGAGAATTAATGCCTGGCCTGCTACAAAGTGATGCAGATTCGTCTCCTTTCCCTCTTGGTGAATTTTTTTCCATTTTTAGAATTTTACCCACCCGTCCGGAGCTGGCGAGAGGTGCGACACACCTGCAAACCTTTTGGCCAAAGGATGTCAACCGCCCTTCATCGAAAACCCTGCCTCCCAAATAGAAATACTTCAAAATAAGCCGCTGAGCGTGGGCCGACAGAGAAACAGTTCTGACATTGTTCAGATTTCTCCTCAGAGCGTGGTTCTTACACTGAGGCCAGGTACGGAGTGCTCCATTTCCTAGCTTTGTCGCTGACGGTCCACCAACACCTCTGGCACCCAGCACGTGTCCATCCTTGGTTGCGGTGCCGCTCATTTCCCCATCTGAAGGGCACGGGAATCACACGTCTCTTTATGGCACGTTGAATGTGTCACTGAAGACAGCTTCTCTTAGGGGTGACTGTTTGAATTACTCAAATGTCGCCCACATTAACTGTACATTTCTTCAAGGGCTGAAATGTAGATTTAATCTCCCCTTTATTCGGTTCACCTTTTCTAAAGCCACACATACAAAGACGTGGCTTATCTTTCATCTAAATGGCTGCTCCTTCTCCCAAGGATATATAAAATATCCCGACATCCACCTCCTTCAGTCCCTCCAAACTCACCGCTGGGAGATTTCCATGGACGTGTTCATTTAGAGACGCTACCGCGCAGGTCATGAGATGGCGCGCACCTTACTAAGGTCGCTCTGAAATACAATAGCTGGTTAGCTCAGGATTGGTCAGTTACAAATGACTGTTGTGTTTATGGATTTGTTTCTCGTGGGCCATTATAGGCGGTGAGCAGACCGTGCAAGTGCAGGTCCGCCAAACGGAAGATTACCCAGTCGATCTGTATTACCTCATGGACCTCTCGGCCTCCATGGATGACGACCTCAACACAATCAAAGAGCTGGGCTCCCGGCTTGCCAAAGAGATGTCTAAATTAACCAGCAACTTTAGACTGGGCTTTGGATCCTTTGTGGAAAAGCCCGTTTCTCCTTTTATGAAAACAACACCAGAGGAAATCACCAACCCTTGCAGGTAAGTGAACTCCTTGGCATCCCTGGGCACTGGTTTCTACAGATGTAATCCACACGGCCCAGCTGCTGTGCCAGGAGCTCATTAACACCCTGGCATTTCTTTCTCAGGTTGGGATCTCAGCAATACTCTGTGCTCTATGTAGTTTCCAGCCAAGGTAGGGTCATCATAACTTCAATGTTCTAGCCCACAGACCTGCATCAGCTGCCAGGTTTGCAGGTCAGGATGCAGCCAACCGGGTTTCCAGTCTGTGGGCAAGGAGACACTGTCTTTGCCTGTTGGCTACACAGGCAACACATACCAGTCTCTCAGAGATCTTCAGTCCTCCGTGACCACCACTTCCTAGAACTCTTTCGTACGAACCTACGTGCTCTCTGAGTCTTTCCATCAAAATAACAATTTTTGCAGTTTTGTCTGACACACTTTGGGAAATGTGGCTTTCTCTCACCTCTGAGGGAAGCAGCCTTCACTGCAATTAAACTCAATAGGAAATGAGGCAGTGACTCTATTACAAAATGCTATAATCAGCCATTAAAATCACGTGTTATGCTGATGGTAGTCAAGGGCAAACGGTTTTGTGATGGCTTACCTGTATGGTCAATGCCATGTCCAAAATTAAGTTATTTAAAATTTTTCCACTGAGAAAGAGCTACCATTTGCCCCATGCCAGCCTCTATGTTGAACACTTCATATGCATGGCCTTCCTCCAGCTTCATAACGATGGAAGGTAAAAGCTGGACTTGTGAGTTCTGTACCCAGAGGGAGTGACAAGGGACTTGGAGAGGCCAGCCATTTACCCAAGACCACATGACCAAACGAGGATTTGTGAGAAGATCTGGTTTGATTCAAAATATTAGCCTCACAATACAATCCCCCCACACACACACAGGTACACACACACACCAATTTCCCAAATGTATGGTAGCATTTAATATTTTAATACATCAAAGGAAGCAGTATCTATAAGAAGGAAATGATGGTATCTCAGTTTAGAAGTTTAGTATAGTTCTCACAAGTTGGGCAGTGATGGCACAAACCTTTAGTCCCAGCAGAGACAGGTGGATCTCTGAGTTCAATAACAGCTAGTTTAGCTGGTTTTGCAGAGCAAGTTCCAGGACAGTCAGGGCTATACAGAGAAAGGAAGGAGAGAGAAGAGGGGGAGGAGACTAATCTAACACAGCCCCAAACAATTTTACTCTTACCGATTCTATTTATTTTTAGGAATTGCATTTGGTTGTAAGCAACAGAGATATTGACTTAAGAAGAGAATTAGTTCTCTCTCCTCCACATAAAGGAGCTGGAGAAGGGCAGTTCAGGACTGGCTCAGTGGCTCCACACCCAGGGATCCAAGGGTTTCCTGCTGTCTGTCTGCCATTGTTGGTACTTGGGTTTTGTCTTCATGGTCCAAGAAGGCTGCTGGGACACTGATCATGTCTTTATTCTAGGAAGTAGGAAAGGAGGAAAGCAGGCAGATCAATAAAGATCTAATTGGAACACTCCAAAAAAGCACACAGCAAAAAACACTGTTTGATGAGTTTGGTAAACGAATGCACCCAAATAGTCTACAACCCAGACTCGTCTTCCCCTCAGAAGGATTCTTCATGGCCTATTAGAGTCAGTTCTGCTTCCTCAGAAGCAACCACCTTCTGATTTCTATTATTTAGGCTGTTTATTGCCTGTTCTTGGTTCTCAAATAGATGTAAGAGGGTGTAGTATGCACGCTTCCTGTCTGGCTTCTTTCTTCCTTTCTTTCGTTCTTTCTTTCTTTTTCTTCTTTCTTCCTTAAACCTTTTATTGATTGACTCTTTGTGGCTTTTACACTGTGAATCTCGATCCCACCCATCTACCTGTCCCCTTGACTCCACCCTCTGTCCCCCGCAATCTCCTCCACAAAATAAAATGAAGTAAAATTTAGGAGAAAAGAAGAACAAGAATAAATAAATAAATAGATATTTTTGGATGCTGTAGTGTTGTTACGCAGTGAGTCACACAATATACCTTTTAGCCCATATTTACTTTGCTTGTAGTCACCGCTTGCAAGTGTTCCTTACAATGAGTCATTGGCCTGGTTCTAGACCTGGTTTCTGCTACACTATCAATACTGGGCCCTCACTGGAACTCCTCTTGGATATCCTATTGTTGCCCTCTGTTGTGAAGATCCTGCAACTTTGAGTCTGCAGGACCAGCCCCTTCACATGCTCCAACAGATCATAGAGGGGGTGGATGTTGGTCAACTCCTAGCCCTGGTTCTAGGTCTAGGATGTAGCTGAATTGGTCAACCCACCAGCTCTTCCCAATCCTCACTACCAGGGTGAGTTCTCCAGCACTGGCCCTGCATAGGCCATCCTTGCAGCAAGGAGTGAAGGGCAAGGCTGGTTCTCCTGCTCTTACTCCTTAGGGCCCACTCACCCACACCTACACCACCAGGGCCAGCTCTATTGTGTTGCCAGGCAAGGTGCAGGGGCCACTCTCCCAAGTGCTACTGCTGGTAGGAACAGGGCCGGCTCTTGCTCTCTTTACTTCAGGGTCAGCTCTCCCATCTGCCACAGGTGGCGAGGGGTAAGTTAGAGGAGGAAATCTTTCCCTCACCTTGCATACCACATGGCAGACGAGGGAAGTGGGGAAAGATTTCTCATTCTCACACCCTCAGAGCCAGCTCACCCCTGTCCCCTGCCAATGGGGTCAGCTCTACTGTGCTGCCCAGGCAAGGTGCAGGGCCTGCTCTCCCAAGTTCTGCACCTGATGAGGGAACAGGCCAGCTCTCCCATTCTCATGTCCCAGGGGCCAACTCTCCTGCCCGCAGCAGGTGTTGGGGGGGGGGGGGCAAAAGGGGCATCTCTCTCCCAGCCATGCCATTATATGATGGAAAAGTAGGGAGCCAGCTCTCCCATGCTCACAGCCTCGGGCTGGCTAACCTGCTCCTGGCGTCTGGCTTCTTTTGTTCAGCAAAATGCTTTTACATGTCTTTATGACTTGATTGTACACATCAGCAGTCTGCTCCTCTTTAACACACAGCCCTTTATGCCTCTGCTAGAGTTTCTTTACTCAGTCGTTCATTGATGGATAGTTAGGTTGTCTCCAACTATAACAAGAGTTTGCATGTTCCTATTCCGACACTGTGGAAATTGTTGGCATGTCCACTTGCATATGAGCCTTTACAAAAACGTACTTTTTTGTTTATCTTAAATGCATAGGTAGAATAGATCTGGTGAGCTGTATAATGTTTTCAATTTTTTGAGAAGCTACCAGACTCTTTGCAAAGGAGATGTGCTGCCTTTTATTTCCAAGAACAGGTTTGCAAGCTTTTCATGTGATGTACCTTAGTGAATAATGGAGTTAGTAGCATTAGAATGACTAAGTTTTCACGAAAAAATTAGTCCTTTAAATTAGGCATTCTGGTGAGTTTGCAATGCTATCTAATAATTTGTGTTTATTGATGAGTGATATTGAACATCTTTTCGTGTGTTTATTTGTCCTAATGTCATATTTTGGGAAATACCTTCTCAAATATTTTAACTATTTTTAAATTTTTTGGTTTTCTTATTAACATTGTTTTCTACGGGCTTTTTAAATTATCTTATGTGTATGAGTGGTTTGTACGTCTGTGCTTTATGTGTGTGCAGTGCCCTCAGAGTCCAGAAGGGGGAGTCAGAATCCCTGGAACTGGAGTTACAGATGGTTCTGAGCCACTCACTATGTGGATGATGGTAACTGAACCTGGGTCCTCTGCAAGAGCAATAAATGCTCTTAATAATAATAAGTGCACCAAATCTCATTATGGATGGTTGTGAGCCATCATGTGGTTGCTGGAAATTGAGGACTTCTGGAAGAGCAGTCAGTGTTCTTAACCACTGAGCCATCTCTCCAGCCCCTCTCCTGCCCCTTGTATCCTGCATTTTGGATACAAGTTCTTTGTCCAATATATTTCTCAGATTTTCTTACCAGATTGTAGTTTGTATTTTATTTTAGTAAAAGTATATATATTTTTAGTTTTGATGATCAGCATATCAAGTTTGTAGTTCGTATTTTTTGTTCTGAGAAACTTTGGCCTAAGTTTCTAAGGTAGTAAAAAATTTCTTCCATATTTTCTTGTAGAAACTTTAAGATTAAAGGTCTTCTGTTTAGAACTGTGATCACAACCAAATGAATTTTTATCTTGAGAATGAGAAACATTGAGATTCATCTTTTGTTTCTGCATGGGATTGGTTATTCCAAAACTATTTGTGAAGCAAGACTTTCCACACTGGATTAGCTTGGCGTCTTTGTGAGGAATCGGTTGGCTGTATGTAGGAGTCTGAATATAGACCTTCATTTCTCTTTCACTGATCCCTTGTCTCTGGGTCATGGAACAACACACGCCTCCGTCTTGCTTACAGCAGCTTTGTCAGAAGAGAAATCAGGAACGGGGGTCCTCCAGCGTGGTCCTTTTTTGATGTTCCTGGATCCTTTGCATTTCCACATAGATTTTAGAATCAGCTTATCAATGTCTCCAAAAATATATGCTGAGGTTTTGAAAGAGACTGTAACAAAACCATAGATCTTAAACCTCTTGAGCCTTCTGGTCATGTCACATGACATGGATCTCTGCTTCTTTGATTCTTGTTGAATGTTTCTGAGGCCCACTTCACTGTTTCCAATGTAAAACCAAAACAAAACCAAACAAAAAAAATCTCACTTTCTCCTGTCTTTCTTCATATTATCGGTTGTTTGAGGTTTGTAAAATCCTAGTTTTCAAAAGTAATTTACATATTTTGGATATTCATTTTCTTCCTGAAACCTTTATAGATTTTCTCTCATTAATTCTTTTCTGCCTTTGTAGACATCTTCTGATATTCTAAACACAGTCACATCATCTGTGAGGGACAATGTCTTCTTCAGTGCCCACTCCTCTGTTTACCTTCTCCTGCCTTACTGTGTTTGCTAGGATCAGTTTATCTAGGCCCACCAACACAATTTTTAACTGACGTGGTGAGGGAGGACATGACGTGGTGACATGGCCCTTG